ACTGTGAATTTATTACGGAAATGTGGCTGTAAAAATGGAATGAATGTATAAATGGCATCGTTAGCCCGGTAATATCCACCGTTTTCTCTAACGACTATAGCGGCCTTCCACACTCTCATACCATGGCGTGGCTAACTCAAGTAAAGTAATTTAAGGGGTATCTTTAACAAATTCCAATCTCGAAAAAGTGTGGTCATTTTATACAAAGGAGATGCTTGCATATATCGACTTTACGAAGCATCCATTAATAAGAAAATAGATGACTTCAACAGTGAACAATTGGAAGGGAAAAAACCAAGTTCACGGCAGACAAAAGAATTATTGCTGAAAAAGATAATATTTAAAAGCTAAAATTGTACTCACTTGTTGATGTTGGCCACAATACCAAACTCTGAACTCTGCCATCAATAATCTTACCTGAAAAAAATGAAAATAAAAATTTAGAGAAGAGTAACTTTTATAATGTACGATATTTGTACATAACATGTCAACAAAAACTTGTATAATCTATGTTATCATTAACAAAACAAGTTTATTTATCAGGGTAAATTATGCAAGGGGACATATCTAAATTCAATAACACAAAACCACTTCTCTTTTGAGTTTGTTTCCTCCTGGAGTAGGTGTGTGTTATTAAACTGTTTACTTGAAGGACAATGTTTATTAAGAGAAGCGTAATGAAACCATGGCGAAGTCCTGAGGCCTCTTACAAGGGCTATGAGATAGTGAAAGTGTGACGTCAAAGCTACGTCAGGGCTACGTCACTACCATCGCCCTGAATGTGGGCCATGGCCTGGACGGTCATTGACTCCTGGTAGCCTCGTACAGGGTCCTTTTTAACATCTGCTTCTATCTACATCAAATCTAATAATATTTCTGTTTCTAAACTCATAATGTTCACAAATATAAACTTTTCCACACACAATAATCCTAAATACATACTTAGAGGGACCCCCAACACACCTGATTTAATCCTTGAATTCAACAACACGTTTCATAGATGGCTGCCTTTATAACCACGTACAATTTATTTTTACCCTCAAACTATTACCAAAATATGTTGACTAAATTTTAATAATTAATACACCTTAACAACAGTTGTATATTTGGTGTATTTACCCACAATTACGTTAGTTTCAATATCCTTCCTGCCTGATTCTCACTGTCTAACACCACTTTTCCTTTCTGTGGTGAGTGTGGCGGCTGACTGAAACTGAAACTGAATTATTATCTTCTGTAAAACACCAAAGGTAGACTAGATAAGTAACTGAAACAAAATCATTTACCGACTTCTGATAAGTAAAAGGTAAATAAAACTGAAATTACTATTACTAACAAATGAAGATCGGTTTGCTTAAAGAATGAACTGGAACCGAATTATCCTCTTCTGGGAATAACACAGATGGCTGGAGAATTATATACCAACGGTAATATAATTTGTCCTTAAACCATTTTAAATGAATATAATTACTTATCTAATGAGAGTATTGTTCCTCTTTAATCACTCCATGTATTCTATATAATTTGGCCATTAATTAACTGGTAATGACCCTTATACTCGGCAGCAACGACTAAATTCATAAAGGTACGTCCTCATAGTTTTATTACTAACATATATAAAATGTGTACCAAAATTTATAGCTACGATGAATTCTACGAAACGATACAACTTAGCTCACAAACACTGAGGCAAAGGTGGAGTGAAATATCAACCATCAATTAATCAGCGCATGACGCATCACCCACCAGAACGTACAATTCTTTATTTAAACAACTGGCGTCACTGGGTACGTGTGTGTGCATTTTGTCTGTTTGTGTGTGTATAAAACAGGAGTTAAGTTGTTTAGGCTGGTAAGTCCCACCCAGCTAATATGAGCCTAACTGCTATCTTGGACTACTCTTGGTTCAATCAACATGTTTATGATTATTTAACATGTACTAGCGTTTTATCTGTCGAATCTCATTAATATTCTAATACTGATATAATTTAAAACTGGCATTAATCCCTAGTAAGACAGTTCAATAATAGGCATAATTTAACGCCAATATATGCAAGGACTAGTATAACTCAACTCCTGGTTCCTATACAACCTGTAGGCCTATACAATGCGCTGTTAATATGTATGTGTGTGTGTGTGTGTTTGCGTCATGTTTGTATCATTTCAAAACTCCACTTCAGTCCTACCACTACAGGCCTAACTAACTCAACGACGCGAAAAGTGAAAAGCTGGGTGGTGGAGGGGGTGAGGTCTGGGAGCCACAGGTAAAGGTGGCACCCCTCCCTGGCCCTGGCTGCCTAAATCTAACACTCTCACTTACCGGTAATATTAATTTCATCAACAAGAATAAGTCCCATATTTACTTAAAACTAACAATAAATAACGTACGATGAGTTACGTAAGCAAATGATAAATGTTTGTTTAACTCAAATAAATGTGTCCACTATGGCACTAGCTGGCATCCACAGTGCCGGGCCCTACTTGGGGTGCGATGACCCCGGCCAGTTAACGAGGCCGCCTGATACAAGGCTCAAAACACCATCTAGATACTACTAAAACACGGCCTTGACGACTCGCCACCACCGCCGTTCAAGTCCAAGACATCACACAGAGCCCATAACACCTTGCTGCCGAGGTTTAGACTCGCCCTTAAGGACACAGGAGGGATTTCGGTTATCTCTAAGAATAAACGTCACAGCGAGGTTAGGACACAGGCGACGGGTTTCCAGCTTGAGTAACACGGTCGAATTTTGTGTTGGTGATACTGAACACTGCTGTTACTGCTGCTGTTACAAAGGATGGGGGGCACAGACTGTTTTCAGGGACTTGAACTTTAAGCATTTTGTATGAGTATGTTACATGCTCAAAAAGCGTCCACGCGCACATACAAACAAAGCGAGAGAGAGAGAGAGAGAGAGAGAGAGAGAGAGAGAGAGAGAGAGAGAATTGTGCATTTTCCGTTTTTCAATGAAGAAGTAATATTCACACTATCTGATAAATGATAAAATTTGCCATGACACCCCCAGTCATTTGTTCCAATCATCTAGTTTAACCCAACCATATACGTGTTGTTAATATGCAAGGATAAGTATAAAACACCTTTTATTACCCAAACATTATATCCAACCCCCCTAAAGTCAGTCCTAGCCAAGAGCGACCCCCTCCCACCCCCAGCGGAGGAGCAGTAAGGGCCATACTTCGTACTCCCCGCGTGCTAAAATAATCCTAATTGAGGCGGGACGGTGTAAAAAGGGGGCTGTAAGGTCGACACGAGGCAGCGGGAGGAGGGAAGATGGACCTTACTGGTGTGGTGGTGTGCCCGCTGACCTACTGAGAGACAGAGTTCATCGTACGGAGAGTGAAAGTGGCACCCCGTTCGCGCTCCTGGATCTCTGTAATCCGGGTTAAGGCTCGTTACTAATCCAGGTGAAGGTGGCACAACCCCCACGGTTACCTACTGTTATTAACGCAATGCACCGTGAAAACTACTGAAAAAAGTACTTTGTTAAATTTCCTGCCAAGAAAACGCATTTACACGACCCTACAAATACAATTAACACAAAATCTAACCTAGAGTATACACGTTCATACCATACATGCAATATATAGTATACATATTCATAAATGTCTAATTATATACTAATAAGGAATATATACACCTACTGAACACATATAACCCGGTTTATTAAAGGTCCGGGACAAGCGTGAGAAGGGTATTGTCCAGAGTAACACTACCAAACATCGCACACTTTATCCGGGTACTCTAGTTTCCTCCTGTGCTAACATTAAACAGGAAAATTCTCAACACAGTAACAAAGAACAGACCAACCACCCGAACGGCCAATAAACTGGTAAGTGGTGAAATAATTACTACTACTACTACTACTACTACTACTACTAATAATAATAATAATAATAAAAGGGACAACTGGTAGGTGGCCGCCGTAATTCGTGGGTGGTGGTCTGCCCGGTCATTGCCCCCACAGCCCGTAAGTGGGTTAGTAACAGCTGATACGGTGTTGCCAGATGTTGGTCATGGTCCAAGGCCATATAACAGTATTTCACATTACTCAATCTACGAAATAATATACTAATTATATTAATCCTACATAATGAAATGTTAAATTAATGATATTTAAACAAATAATTAACACAAGCCAAGGACGTTGCAAGAGGAAAAATAAATAAATTAAATAAAAAGGTTCCCAGTGGCAAAACTTTTCCGAAACACTTTCTTCGGCTCCCGAGTTTCCTTTCAGTTATTCTTTAAGGATAACTTCATGGTGTATCCTCACACTGCCAGGATCCACAGGAGTACAGAAATATTAATGTACTGTTTATTTACCAAAGACATAATCACACTGTTTGGTGACGTACCCAGTCATTACGATCCTATACACAATGGTAACCTAATACCGCAATCTTCACAGTAAAGCAACAACTAGTCTTACAGGTGTTTCCTATAGTGACACCGATAATATAAGCGAGACAGAAAATTACCGATTAAACAGGTGGATTACAGTGGTTGGAGCTGTTTACTCCTCAACAACAACAACAACAATAATAATAATAATAATAATAATAATAATAATAATAATAATAATAATAATAATAATAATAATAATAATAATAATAATAGAAAAGTATAAAAAAAAAAAATTCCCTCACTTGGCGCCAACTTGAGAAGCTACTCTTATATACACCTTTAATACACACCGTTAATATTCTCGCCTCAGGACACTACATTAAACAGTGACTTGTTACCTTATATTACATCTGACTGGGCCGAACAACCTTTTGTTCCACCTACCTGTAACATCACGAACTCTACCTTATACCACAACAACACCAGTGATCCACCTACAAGGACAACAGTGTGCTCTACCTTATACCTTATTCCACCTACCACAAAGGCAACACAGGCTTCAGCTTACACCTTTAAGTGTGGAGGCGTTTTCTGTAGAGGGAAGAAGTGTACATACAAACATCTCGTGTCCTTACCTGTTACGATAACTTCTTCCTCTTTAGGAGCCATGCTCAGTATTGTCTTACTAATCAAGTCCATCTGATTAAGAACAGCCAGTCGGGTACTTGAGGCACAATTCACAAAACAACTTTGGAATAGTTGAACTTTTTGCAAAAATTGAGATCAATGTTTTTAAAACTTGAAGCCACTTCAACCTTAACTTATGAAAGACATAGACTTTAGTCAACACTTATGAGTAATACTGCCGAGTGGATCTTGACCAAACCAGAGCCTCTTGTCACAGCGTTGGTCGTGTCTGTTGATGGACGGACAGGTTGGGACGATATAAGTCGTAATATCACTGGTTAATACTACCTTCTTCACACACACCAAAGTCTGACGCTTCACAGTCACTCCCAAACACTCGTTGGTGGTGTCTTGATAACTGGTTCCACTCAATCTTGCATATATTAAACCCTAGAATCACAGTCCAAGTAATACCCGTGGTGCAGCGACACAACAAACAATCACCACAATAACGCACCAGCACTACAGATCCATCAAAGTAAACTTATGTCGAAAGGATAACACGAGGCGACCAGCATGGCGTCGCCTTTTGGTCTGATGTTAGGAGTGGGACATAATAGTGAGAGTTTGTGTATCCAACTACGAGGGTTTTCCATTAAAGTAGTTCAGCGTTTTTGTTAAAGGTGTATATCATCCGCCGTAGTCACCCTCAACAGGCACGAGTCAGGTGATGAACTTGAGGGTTGAGGCGAGGGGAGACACGGAGGGGAGAGTCAAGCCGCGTGTGGTGCTACCGGAGGCTCGAGGGGCATAAACACAGCTCAGGGCGGCGACGACCCACCACCACCACGGGCCGGGGAGGGGGGGGGGGGACAGGATCAGGCTAGCTAGGATTGGAACTATTTCAATGAAGGATACAACTTATTCGACTTCCAAATCATTATCATTTCCGAGACAAAATGTGATTAAAGGACAACCGAGTACTGAGGTGATAATAATAATAAGAAGTTTTAGTAACAGGACAGAGGGTACAAGTTAACGGGGTTTATCACCAATCATACTAAGATACTATGACGTCATTCCCGCGTTTTCGCCAGTGACGGTATCATGTTCATTACTAGTAAATTTTTGACTACTTTACCTAATATATGTTTATATCTTATTTTAGAAGCTTGATGTAGCACGAAATTACCATACAACCCAAGAACCACACAAGGAACAATACAACGATGATACCCACATTAATAACTCGTATTAACTTAGCCTTAGCCTTAGCCTACCAGCCTACCAAAACATACGAGCAAAGTTGAGAAGAGCAAATTTATAATACTCTCATAATGAAGAATTAGGGCAGGTAGATCATAAAGTTGAGGCTATATATTGCCTGCCTGCCTCACGCACGATAACGCCTGGTGTGGCTCGGTCCGGGGTGAACGACCCAGCGTCAGTGCCACCCGTCCACCCCTCCTGGCACTCCGGGCAAGCGAGACATAACGCACACAATTTCCAGGCCGGGGTTATGGTGATTCGCTGTCCTAGTTTTCGTCAACGTAACTAAGAGGACACGTTGTCGAGTCAACCAATATTCTTCACGACGTAACCCAGTGCCAATGACCGATACACCGCTGATAACAGCTATTGATAGTGTCGTAAACATCCATATGTATATAACCAACCAACCATGGAGGTGGTATACATTCGGGTGGTGTCTTGAGAATAAACACAAAACTACTGTTGATATTCTTGAATATTTTTTTTTCATATTTTACTCCTTGGTCGACACAGCAACGTGAACTTACACGCCTATGGAAAGAGTGTTTAAGTGTGCCAATCAAAATTAATATAAACTTAAGTGTACATATATCATGCGCTCTGGTGCAGGTGGAAAGATAAATTTCCCAACCTTCAAGCTAAGTCAACCGAGGCTAGTGTGTAGTAGTGTGAGGAGTGTGCAGTGTGAGACTAGTATGTGCTGTGAAGATAGTTAGGAAGTGTAAGGATAGTCAACAGTGAAGAGAGTATGTTGTCTGATGCTGTGTTAAGAGTATGTGGTATGATGCTGTGTTAAGAGTATGTGGTATGATGCTGTGTTAAGAGTATGTGGTATGATGCTGTGTTAAGAGTATGTGGTATGATGCTGTGTTAAGAGTATGTGGTATGATGCTGTGTTAAGAGTATGTGGTATGAAGCTGTGTTAAGAGTATGTGGTATGATGCTGTGTTAAGAGTATGCAGTGTAAGGCTAGTGCAGTATGTAGTAACTATCGCTTTGTATTTCCGCTTCTTTACCCCCTGGCAGACTAGTGCAGGGGGGAAGAGGGGTAATGGTCTGCTACCACCCCCAACTTACTCCCAGAACCACCAAGACCTCCTAGGACCTGGCTCTCTCCTCCGTGATCATGATAGGTCACTTAACCTAACCTAACCAACCTCGTATACCAGTACTCACATATTATGGTAATCCTAACAATGTCTTTTCTATACTGTTATTAACATGATTTTTGATGAGCATAACGCGTTGTTCTATCGCCACAGAAACATAAAGACTTAATTCATGGTTGCCAGCCTCGGAGGGTGTGTTCGTGGCGGCTTGTCACGCGAGGCAGAATCAGGGTCACGAGTGTTTGTTGAGTATGAACCCCCCCCCCCCCAGCCTTGGTGCAGTTGTTCCTTTCCTAAAGTGCTTTTAAGGGGATGACTATGTGGATGATTTTAAGGGCATAAATTCATCAATACAAACTGTAACACTCTCATTCACACGAACGTAAAGACTCCATTAATGAATTCATGTTTTTCCTAAATATTAAGAATCACCAACTTCATTTTTGATTTAAAAATTCCACTACAAACAGTTACTCAGTCGACCAAATTGTCCCAGTAAACCCACTATACCTACACCCACACACGCCTGAATGTAGACCACTGCACTCCTGGCACTATGGCGTGAGTGTGCCAACAGAATACGATTAATGGAAGGTCACTAATGGCCCGTAAACTACCTCGACATAAGGTTGATATTACCTCTACCAAGACATTCTCTACCAGGATACTTAAAAGGGGTATATGAATCTTCTGGTGCAAGAATATTAGGGTGATAGTCCAGTGCTACACGCTCTGGCAGCAGTGGGAAAGATAACAAGGTAAACTCACCCTTCTGGCTTCTGGCGCGAGGGCTGAAAAAATAGCATGACGTGTGTCTTGGTACTAGGAGGACACATGGCACGGTAATCTCAACACACTGTCCTCTTCACGTAAGGCCGACAATTCAGTGACACTGTTGGCACTGTTACGCCACCGGGGTCGCGCGGTCAGTGGCCTCCTCCCGAGAGATTATTAACTAAATGTAACCACCATTTCGGGGGATTTCCGTCAGGTCCAAACTTCGCCAAAATCCAGAATAATTTACATCGATAATTAGGACAGACTTGTTTACGAGAAGAGCGTCATGAAGGCACCAGGACGGGCACATAAGACGGTAAGTAAAGGTTCTGTCCACACACACACACAACCGTTGATTATTATAATGACTAGATCATCACATGACGTCAGGCGCATTTCATTTGCTCTCCCAGAGATAAAATCCAACACGCATACAATACATGCAGAGATACATACAGTATACATTCTATACACTCATAAATGTATATATTCACACACACACACACACACACACACACACACACACACACACACACACACACACATACATTCAAGGACACGGCATAATTTATTCAGTCGCTGAAAGTCAATACGTATGAGAGGAATATTAATGTGACATAGGAAAGACTAACACAACTTTTCCTGACAAGTGATCGTAACTAACTACACTACGACCCGGATTCACGAAGGATTCTCATCTTGCAGTGAAAGTAAAAGTCTCAAGGGTGATTTTGTTGTCAGTTTAAATGTATGTTCCCGGGTTTCTAGCTACATTTAACCAGCTACGAGGAAAACTTAATGTATGAATCTCTGAGAAACCCGTCCCATGACCCGGACTCTTGTGTTGTTTTCTTCATGTAACCGGAGTTTTGAGTACAATGAATTAACCCAGAAAGATATTTTAACCCCTACAGTACAAGTTAATTCTTTAACTACAATGTATTAACCATTTGAATATAATTAACTATTCCCTTGGGTACAATGACTTGATAATACAAGGTTTAAGTCATGACGACAAGGAGTTAAAAATATATTGAACCTTGAGTTTTTTTTTTTTTTTTTTGGTGTGTGTGTGTTGTTGCTACCCAATCTGAGGAGCGTGTAAATAACGGCTCTTCCAGTTGGTTCACTTTTGCTTTCTTCCTAACTCAGGTGATTCAGTGCTCGGGAGAGACGCATCCCGTTTTCTGACACTCCATAGAAAACGGGAGGCGGCTCTACGCGTTAGCCAAACAAAATTTAAACCATCATCAAAAACATTACAAACCGAAGCACATCAACAAGGTATGTACAACGTTGGCTCTATGGTTCACTCCTGACCATAAGTTTGAGGGCTGGTGTTTGACTAGACGACTCGGACAAACACTGAGAGTGAAAGATGATCCCATAACCACGACTGGACACGCATTAACAAACTCGCAAGCCCCAGGCGGCGTGTGGTGTGGTGTGTGTGAAAACGAAGGCAGCTCGCGCCTTACTTGCCTGACCACACACCCTACCCTCACACACACCCTACAACCCACACACGCCCTGGCACCTACTGTATGTGTCCTGACCTCCCCAACTCTCATCAATGCCCCACCACGCCCACGCCCCTCCCATTGGTGATGCTTCCCAAAGACTAGGACTATTTGGTTTAGCAGTTTTGGCAGCAGTGTGTAAATATACAACAGTGACGAACTGGGGAGTATATTTTGCCTTCCCTAAACTATTTTGGCAATACTGGGGTTGAGTCATGAGGCCTCGCTAGTGTTGTAGTTTCATCACATCAACTGTACCACATGATATATAAATATTTGAACATAATGTAGCACACAAGTACAACTGTGAGATCCGTGATACCCAGAGTGTTTTGGGGAAGGAGACTGTGTGTGTGTGTGTGTGTGTGTGTGCAGAGGTCTCAGGAACAACCTCGACATCCCATGCTTGTGACGAAACCCGCGGCCCAGTCATGATACCCCCTAACCCAACACCCCCCACCCCCACTCCTACACCTCGTGGATGTACGCTCCTCACACCCACTCTCTCCTACCTTCCCTACATAAGAGTCTTCTAATTATACCTCTCTCAATCCTAATCCCCTACGCACGCACCTGTAGCCTAACTCTTAATAATAAACCTAAGACTGTATATTGTACATTCTATATTAATTTACGCCCCTATAGTTTACCCTCTGCTCTATTGTCCTATCTTCCCCCAACAAACACAGTGTCAACTCAATGACTCATCCGTCCCGAAGTGGATTTAAAGCCAGAGTGAGTAAAGGATCGCGTGGTGTTTATGAGCTGACATACGTGTGTTGTGTTGATTGAACTAGGTGGCTGCTTCTCTGACCTCAACACTTACTAGAACCATCGAAAGAAGCAAAACACACACACACACACACACACACACACACACACACACACACACACACACACACCAAACCCACTTATCCCGTCCTGTAGGTACCAAGTCATAGAGTTCAATATAAAAGTCTAAACTTTAATCCAAAACTAAAACGAATTCCCTTACAGAACATATCCCTCACCCCTGAAAGACGCCGTCCCATCATCACTACACAAAGAAAACAAAGAGGCGGAGGGATATCAGTGAGGGAGAGGGGAGAGCCGAGAGAGGGAGGGCGGAGGGGAAGCTGGGAGGAGAGG